CACACCTGACTCTTCACTCCTGACTCTGCACTCAGGAATTTACTCCTGGTGATGCTCAGGGGACCATAGGGGATGCTGGGAATCAAACCTGGGTCTGCCTCGTGCAAAGTAAATGCCTTCCCTGCTGTACTATCACTCCAGTCCCTCTATTATACATTTTCTGTCAACCTGTTTCTGTGGCTTTTTCATACATTTTCTGCAAACTATTCAGGACCTTTATTTTACATTTTCTGTTAGTCTGCTTGCATGCTCTATGCCAGTTTGTTAATTTTTTTTAACTCATAACTATGGCTTTTATTACTGTATTATGTTAACATGCATTAATGCAGTACATTAGATTGGTATGTGTATTGGCATAATAAGTTAATATGAATGTATGTAATTTTATTTTTATTTGTAATTTAATTTTTTAAGTAGCTTAAAATGTTTTAAACTTTGGGCCTGGAGAAATAGTATGGGGTTCACAGCCTGTGTCTTATGTAGCTGCCCTGTCTCATCACCAGCACTGTATGTTCCCTAGTGCCCTGTACAGTACAATCCCAGAGGCCCTAGAGAATTGCAGGGTGTGCCCAGGTACCGCCAGTACTGCAGGGCTCAGGCAGCATCACATCTTCCGTTCCTTGCATTGTATTACAGGTTGTCCGAGAATCACTGGGAGAGCATCAGTTGGAAGACCCCCCAAATTGAAAACTTAGCACATGTCACTTCTCAACTAAAAACAAAAAAAATTTAACAACATCTGTCAGATATGCTGCTTTTAGCAGAATTAGGTTTTCAGCAAATGTTTGGGTGATTGAAATCTCCCAGCACAGCGTATGTTGTCCTTGTGCTAATTTGGAGAATTGTGTTAGGAAAATTATGTCCATATCCTTGGTTGGCCCATGATCTGTCACCTCCTTTAGAGATGATATCATGTCTATTTTTCTCTCTTTTTGTGCTTGTCCAAGAGCTATCTACCACAATCTAAGAAAAAGTCAAAAGCTGTTCTGGAATAATCTGTAACCCACCCCCCACTCCCCCCATTTGCTCATCTCCCCAGTTCTCATACAAACATTTTTTCTCTCACATACACGAGCCCACACATAGATACTCATCAGAAGTTCTTCCTTGTGCCACCAAGCAGAAAAACCCAGGCTAACTGTGAGGATTAGTCACTAAATCAGGACACATTTCTTCAGCCATTTTCTGGCAGCACTAAGAAAGCTTGAATGCCCATAGAGGAGAGAATATTTTTGGTCACTAGATACAGAGTCAAGAGATTTTTAAAGATAAATTTGGGAAGGTTGCATCATAATTATATTTTCTAGAGATAGTTTTTAAGTAGGGACAAGACTGTACCGCACAAACTTGGGCAGCAGCGCAATGGTTGCCTAACTGGCTTTGAAAGACTTTATAGAACTCTCATGTATAGGTGTAAAACAGGGGCAAGAGGATCTCTTGTTTGCCAGACACTTGCATAAATATGTAGACAATCCTTTGCGTTTATAAAGCAAATTCCTATGTAAAAGATTCTTTGCATTAAAAAAATAGACAGGAACATAATGGTGGAATAAATGCCCAAAGACAATGGAAACAAAGAACTTGAGAACTGGTCTTCCATAGGAAGTAGGGGAGTTAAAGAGATAGAACAGGGAAGAAACTACAACAGTGATGGAGAGAAGTACGCAACCCGGAGGAGGAGGGGGAGTTGAGCGTTGAAACCCTGTCAGTAGCAGTACTGTAAATTTGGTGCCAGAAGTTTTTTCTCTCTTTGAAAATCACCTCTCATAGAGGCAGACTGGTGGATGGGAGGGAAACGGGGTGGGGAGGGAGGATGGGGCTGGGAATATCTGAGGGAAGTGGGCACTGGTGAAGGGATTGGTGTTGAAACTCTATAAGCCTGAAACGCAATCATAAATAATTTGGTAATTCATGGTGATTAAGTAAAATAATAGAATAAAGAAATAAAGGGGAAAAGATTTGATTTCTGTTATTAGACATAAACCTTTGCCTGGTTTCTGACGTAAGAATTTTATGTTACTTACTGGGGTCGGAGAGATAGTACAGTGGATAGGACATTTTCCTTGCACACAGACAACCTAGTTCTATCAGTTCAACACAGTTCTATCCCCAGTATCCCATATGGCCCCCCACATACCACCAGGAGTGAATGCAGAAGCAGGAGTAACACCTGAGCATTACCTGGTGTGAACCAAAAAAAAAAAAAGAATTTTGTGTTCCTACTCCTGATAGCTTTGCTAACTACTATCAGAGGCTTTTGTCTATATTCCAAAGTCACTTGTTATTAGGGAAATGCAAATCAAAACAACATCTATCTCACATAAGTGAAAACAGCCAACATCAAAAATACAGGAAATAGGCAGAGTTGACAGGGATGTGGTAAAAAAGGAACCCTCACTTACTGTTGGTGAGAATGACATCTGGTTCAGTCTCTATGGGAAAACTGTATTAAGATATCTCAAAAACAGAGCTTCAGTATGACCCAGTCATTCCACTTCTTGTCACCTACCCCCAAGAATACAGAAAATATTAACTGGAAAAGATATATGTATGCCTTTATTCATTGAGTGCTTGGCACAATAGCCACGATATGGTAGCAACTCAAATATTCCATGATAAATGAATGGGTAAAGAATGTACACAATATCTGTACACAATGGAATACTATGCAGCCATAATGAAAGAGGAAATCTCATAGTTTCCTGCAACACAAAGCCAGGGAATTAGCACTTGAGCACCACCGAGTATAATGGCAACAGCCCTTCACCCCAACCCCCAAAAAAAAGCTCTGAGCTAGACCTGTTATACTTTGTAAAGGGATCTGCAGAATATTATCACTGTAAATGTCAGTCATACTCAGTTCTACCTGAACATTCTGTCACATTTCCGTGCTCTTGACTCTAGATCACACAGTTCCAGTGGATGGAACTGGAGGGCATCGTGTTTAAGTGAAATAAAAGAAGAACAAATACTGGAGGATCTCATTCATCTGTGAAAACAGAGGGACAAAATAAGTGAATAGAAAATATTGAGTGATGGTAAACCCTTGGCTTTTGATTATAAGATTGAGATTACCAATCAGTGGGGGCAGGAGAGGAGGAAGGAAGAGGCAAAGTAGAAGTGACACAGTGGGACAGTGGTGGAGGGTCTTGGGCACTTCAGCGGAGGTGAAGATGCAATAACTTTGTACGCCAAAACCAGTAGTAACACTACTGCATCCATGTCACCTAAACTTCAATTCAACACAAAAGGTGAAGTAGATGCACCAGTTTTGAAGACAGAAAGACTTTTCTTCCATGACGAGGGTTTTAGAGTATGGGTTTTGAAGTCAGATTTCACTTCAAATCCCAGATTGACAACAGCGTAGTAGTGTGATTTTGGATTGGTCATTTAACTTTTTTTTTTCTTTTTGGGTCACACCCGGCAATGCACAGGAGTTACTCTTGGCTTTGCACTCAGGAATCACTCCTAGCAGTGCTCAGGGAACCATATGCTGGGAATCCAACCCGAGTCAGTGCATGCAAGGCAAATGCCCTACCCGCTGTGCTATCAGTACAGCACCCTAGACATTTAACAGTTCTAAGGCTCATTTCTTCCCTGTCTAACTATGAGAGCTAATGGGAGAATGTGTATAGAGCAACGGGGGCTGGAGATCTCTACTTATGAGAAACTTACCTCTGGCACCAGAGGCAAGGCATTTACCCAAGTGCAGCAAATCCAGATTGATCCCTGGCACTGCGTAAAGTCAATCCTCCAAATATTGTCAGGGGTCTCTCACAGGCACAGAGTCAGAAATAGCCCTTGTGAACCACCAGGTAGCCCTCCAGCCCAATAAAAAAATATAGCTCCTAGGGGCTGGTGCAATAATACAGCAGGTAGGGCATTTGCCTTGCATGCAGCTGACCCGGGTTCTATTCCCAGCATCCCATATGGTCCCCTGAAAACTGCCAGGAGTAATTCCTGAGTGCATGAGCCAGGAGGAACTCCTGTGCATCGCCAGGTATAGCCCAAAAAGCAAAACAACAACAACAACTATAGCTCCTAGCTGTGCCTGTTATAGTTTGTAAATGGGATCTGCAGAATATTATAACTCTGAATATCAGTCATACTAAGTGCGATCTGAACATCCCATCGCATTTCCGGTGCTCTTGACTCTGGATCACACTTCCTCCGCAGGGTCCACGGGAGTACTCAGGCAGTGTCTCCCTCTCATCTTGTCTTCTCTCACCTGGTCCATTCCTTGTTGTCCAGGCAGATGGAGGAAACAAACAACAGAGGGACAATTTTATAGGAATGCTCTGAGGCTCTGCACAGTTTTGAAGTCTTGAGTCAGAAGCATCTTTAGAAGCACATTAATTAATTTTTGTTCTTACAATGTTAAATGGAAGGCCAGAGGGATAGTACAGTGGGTAAGGAGCTTGCCCTGGATATGGCCGACCCAGGTTTCATCCCTGGCATCCCATATGGTCCCCCGAGCGCCACCAGGAGTCATTCCTGAACATTGCTGGGTGTGGTTCAACACCCCCCTCCCCGCCCACCGCTTGCCTAGCAAATGTTAAATGCACAGCTTAAAGTTACTGTAGGCATTTTCAAAGAACTTGGGGTCAATTTAGAAGTTACCTGTGATCCAGTTACAACATAAGCCTCTTTTTTTCCCTGCAACTCAGAGCCCCGGAGACATAAAGAGCCTCTCTCTGTCGTTATAAAAGCAGTTCTCAGGGGTTGGTTCCATTTCTCATCCGTAAGGAAAACCACTGCACCTGGGCAAGCCATTCCTGGTAACAGAAGCCAAGGGCAATGTTTAGATCTGCCATTAAATTAGAGTCTGTTCAAAGTTCTGGAAACAAAAACCACACTTGTTCCAGAAACAGTATTATTTAGACACAGCCCTGCATATAGTAGGGCTGCAAGATTATTTGCTGAGTGAAAGAGTTGATGAATGGATGCATGGGTGGATGAGGAGGTAGCCTGATGATGCCGTCTGTGTGTTTTGCCTACAGAGACACCAGAAACCGTTCAGCCGGGTGCCCAGGCTCAGCCTGCCAGCTCACATCCTTCGCCACATATTCAGCAGCAGCTGCGGAGCGAAGAGTGTTACCACGGCAAGCTGAGCAGGAAGGCGGCAGAGAGCCTCTTGGTAAAGGATGGAGACTTTCTGGTTCGAGAAAGTGCAACGTCCCCTGGCCAGTATGTGCTGAGTGGGCTGCAGGGAGGCCAGGCCAAACATCTTCTCCTGGTGGATCCTGAAGGCAAGGTATCAAAGCCCCCAGTGCTGCCTTCCAAGGATGGGTGATGAAATTGCTCAGAGGGATGCATCCACTCTCTGATATTGAGGGATGTTCAAGACAAAATTCTAATATGGGGGCTGGAACAATAGCACAGCGGGTAGGGTGATTGCCTTGCATGCAGGCGACCTGGGTTCAATACCCAGCATCCCATATGGTTCCCCGAGCACCGCCAGGAGTAATTCCTGAGTACATGAGCCAGGAGTAACCCATGTGCATCACTGAGTGTGACCCAAAAAGCAAAACAAAAACAAATATAATATATATTATATATTGATGTATGTATTTTTTTGGTATTGTACCACCCACCAGTGCCCAGGAGTTAGTCCTGACTCTACACTCAGAAATTATGGTGCACAGAAGACCATATGGGGTACTGGGGATTGAACCCGGATCAGCCACATGCAAGGCAAGTGCCCTACCTGCTGTACTAGCTCTCTAGCCCAAGAGAGAGCACTGATTTTTCCCCCTTGACCCTATTATTGGAGCAGAAAATGCTCAGTCGAGGTGAGCGAGAGGGTTTGCATGGAGCCCCGCAGGGGATCAGGAGAGGACAGCCTCTTTCTGCCTGTCTCAGTTCAGCTCTGTGAATTCAGTGCTCCATGAGCTATGGGGAATCTCAGCTGACAGTTCCTCGCCATCACATACAGAGCCCTTACTCTAACAGCTTAATTTCATGAACAGATGCTTCAATCATTGTAAACTAAGGATTGATGACATAAAAATAGTCTGACCGAAGCATTAAGTTGTTTCTCAGAGTAAGAGAAGTGGCTCCGGCTAAGGCAGCTGAGAAAGCTTTTTGCAGGTTTGAGGTGTAAGATGAGTCCTGGACGAGGGAAAAATTTAAAAAGGGGAGCGTGGGAGGCCAGAGATAAAGCACATGGAGTCAAGGAGCTTGCCTTGCATATAGTCCCTGAGCACCACCAAGAATAGCCCCTGACACTGTCAGGTGTGACCCAACGCCCTTCCCCAAAGGGAGCACAAGGAAAGAATCACAGGAGCAGAGAGGACAGTAAAATGGCATCGAGTCAGGGGACAGATAGTAACAGCAGGTAGGGCACTTGCCTTGCACACTGCTGCCCTGGGTTTGATCCCTAGCACAACATACGGGTCCCTGAGCACCACCAAGAGTAATCCCTGAGTGCAGAGCCAGGAATAACCCCGGAGCACTGCTGGGTGTGGCCACTCCAAGCAAAAACAAAACAGAAAGAATATTGAGAGGGGGCATTGAGTGCAGCAGATATTTACTTGCTCTGTGTTTCAGACCGATGTCCAGGGACCTTGTACCTTTTTCAGTCTCAGGGAACCAATAAGAAATATCTGGGGCAGACGTTGTGAACAAGGGCAGGTAGGTAAGAGAGGCCTGCCTTAGCCCCGGAGAGTCTGCAGTATACGGAGAGACACCAGAGGGAGCTAGAGATCGAGGTACCTGGCACCAAAATGCTCAAGGTTCTCCCAGCCACAGATCTGAGAAGAGGTTTGAGGTCCCCGAGATCACTACTCTGCCTGACTGCTGAACGTTTTTCCTATTTAAGGCCAGATCCAGAATCTGATCCTCGAGAAGTGGAAATGTAGGATTTGTGTGACAAAGCATTCAAAATAACCACATCTATTAAACTGAGTAGAATTTCTGCAGTGCTTTGGAGAGTTCAAAATAGCCCGAAAGCCAGCTCAACCATCTTAGTACCAGGAGTTTAACTGACTGTAAAACAGAAGAAATGATCAAAGTCATTGGAAATAAGACTTGGAATAGTCACAACTATGTCATAAATACCGTCATAGCATGTCAGGCGATAATGAGTGTTTTTTTTTTTTAATTATTTTGGTTTGGTTTGGTTTGGTTTTTGGGCCACACTCAGCGGTGCTCAGGGACCGATTCTGGTAATGCTCAGGAAACCACAGCAGCAAACCTGGGTCAGCCATGTGAAAGGCAAATGCCTAAATCTTGCACTATGTCTATGGCCCCCTTCCGAACCAGTTTTAATAAATTCGAGGTTGCAATTGTGCCATGTATCTTTCTTTCTTTCTCTCTTTCTTTCTCTTTTCGTTCTCTTCCTTTCTTTCTCTGTTTCTTCTTTCTTTTTTCTTTCTTTCTTTGTTTCTTTCTTTTTCTTTCTTTCTCCCTTTCTTTGTTTCTTCTTTCTTCCTTCCTTTTTCTTCCTTCTTTCTTTCTTTCTTTCTTTCTTTCTTTCTTTCTTTCTTTCCTTCTTTCTCTTTCTTTGTTTCTTTTTTCTTCCTCCCTCCTTTTCTATCTCTCTCCTTCCCTCTCTTCCCTGCTGCCTTCCTCCCTCCATCCCTCCTTCCCTCCCTCTTTCCCTCCCTCCTTCCTTTCCTATAAACAGAGCTTACTCTTGGTTCTGTGCTCAGGGATCACTCTTGGTGGTACTCAGAGAATCCTATGCAGTGCTAGGGCAAAATTGGAGTAGCTACATGCAAGAGAGGTCCTTAACCTACTTGCAAGAGAGTCCCTGTACTATCTCTCTGGTCCTTAGATAACTTTTCTTGTTATAGTGAATGAAACTAGATATTAGTAGTAGGAAAAACTGAGAAGTTTACAAATATGTGAGGATTAACAGCAGGCCCTTGTAACAGTGTGTTGAATCTGGGCAGGAGACCAAACACACAGTATGCAGGTGGCTGTGACTCACTGTGAAGGGCAGTGACCTCTGCTTCGCTCCTGTCAACTGCCCTCACTCAGAGTTGATCTTTCCAAGGAACCCATAAAGCCATATTTTTATGTGAAATTTTATATGAATTATTTTTAGGCTTTCTCCTATTTCTATGTTTGGGGTTTCTCCTGCAGTGTTCATGGGAGCATGTGGTGTTGGGATCGAATCCAGCCTTCCTGCATTAAGGCATGTGCTTCGCCCTTTGAGTTACCTCTCCAACCTTCCCCGTTTTAAATACAAAATACCAGAACATTTTTTGTGTCGCTTCTGCCTTACCCCCGGGTCTCTCTCAAGCTGATTGAAAATATCTCCTGGTGCATGTAGCCAGAGTGGCTGGTTTGTGATCTCTTGCACTAGGGAGATTAATATAACATTTTTTGTAGGATCAGGTGGAAAGAAAGGGAAAGACCAAGGACAGAGAAAGTAATTAGGCGCTTCTATTAGAAGCTAATGTGAGGGCCAGAGAGATAGGGCAGTGGTACGGCGTCTGCCTTCTACTCAGCCAGCCCAGGTTCTCTCCCTGACACTCCATAGGGCTGCCTGAGCCCTACCAAGAGTGATCCCTGAACCCAGAGTCAGGAGTAAGCCCTGAGCACTGTTTTCTGTAGCTATAAACTCCCTATCAAATAATGCTCATGAGAGTGAGCCCAAACTGAGGCAGGAGACCCGGGACACAGAAAGCAAAGGGAGTTGGGATTAAGAACACAGGCTGGCAGGGCGGATTTGATGTGGCCTGGGGATGAGCTGCAGGAGATAAGACTTCTCTTCAAGGACTGTACCCATTTGAGAGTAAGTTGGAGACCATGTGCCCTTTCCCTCGTAATCCTCTGAGTGTATCCAAGGAACCAACTACCCTCTTTTGTAGCTACAATAGAGTGATCCAGATCAAGAAATGTGATAAACATAGTCACAATGGCATTATCTATGTCTGAGTCCATATCAAATTTGGCCCATTATTCCAATCAGTGTGTGGATGTCATGTGTATATATAGAACAGAGCCCCTCATGGAGGGATGGTGGTGTTACAAAACACTGTTGGCTGTGCTTTTTCGTTCTCTTGCAAACAGGAGCATGTGCCAGGCCACCTATTCAGTGGAGTCTGAGAGAGAGCAGCATCTTAGGCTCATGAAATGAATTAGCTCCTGTGACATTTGCAGGAAGGAGAGACAAAAACTTATGAGAGAGGTCTGAAGCTGCTTCTTTGTGGAACAGAATTTGTCCCGGGAGAGGTTAAACTCAGAAGGTCCTGCTTCCTACAAAGGCAGGATGTCACAGAAGCACTCCGCTAGTTGGGATTAAAATGTGGTGGAATTCTGGCTTCTCTACAACCCATTTAAATAGTTATAGGAATGGTGACATTATAGGATAGATCCACCGGTAGTAGCATGGAAAATTGGTCAACTGAAAATTCAGATCAGGTGACAAGTTCTAATTATTTTTCTAAATAGAAGGATGGTTGCTAAGAGAGAATGAGAAAACTGAAGGATACCCATCAAAAAAATACCACCATCAGCCTTTTTTGGTGGTTCCAAGCATGAGTCATGTGCTCCACTCCTGAGCTACTTCCCATCCTGTTTCTTTGCTTCATTCAACAAAATATCTCACTATTGCCCTCAGGGTTGCATTTTTGCATATACTCGCTTATGTCAGGAGAAGTATTATCATTAAACCCAACCCATGTCTGCTCTTCTTTTCAAGGTAAGGACCAAGGACCATGTTTTTGATAATGTTGGCCATCTTATCCGCTATCACATGGATAATAGTCTGCCAATCATCTCTTCTGGAAGCGAAGTGAGTCTCAAGCAACCAGTAAGAAAAAGTAATAATCCAGGACTTATGCATTTGAGCAACTGACACCATGGCTGTTCCATCCTGCTGACATTTCAAGAAATGGCTTTTGTGGAAGGACACAAGGGGTAGTTCCAGTTTGGTTTCTAGATAAGATAGATCTCAGGCTGTGAAGTGCATCTTTCCAAGATCCTCATGAACTGGGTCTTTTATAAAACAAAGAGCTAACAGAAATTCATTTTGAGAAAGTGCACATCAGATTAGGGGGACACGGATTCATCCATGTGAAGAGAAGTTAAACATGAGCACGGATGTCACTTTTTTAAAGGGCCATATTGTGTTGATAACAAGCTAAAAAGCACAATTAAAATTTCTCATGCTAAAGACAACTTGAGCGAACTGCCGGGGCAGTGGTATGTGCCTTTTAACCTTTGGGGACATTTTCATATTGGGGAAGATTAGTTCTAAGTGTCTTCATGTTCTATAACTACAGAACCATTTGCCAAAAAGTCTTCTCTTGTTACAAAAATAAGAAGCAATTTGCTTGATAGTTATTGATTTTAGTACATTTTCTGTTTAGTAGCATGTTCACTGCAATGTTAAAAATAAAGTTGACATCAAATTCGGACTATGCCTGTGTCAGTGGGCTCAGAACCACTGAGAACATTGGTCTGTTTCATGGATCTGTCCACTTGCTTGTTAAAGGATTTAGGTACAAATTCTTGACTTGGTGCTGCCCAGAGTTGGCTATCTGGATGTTCTGTATGCAGCATGTAACATACTGAAAAAGCCAAATGAATCTGTCATTTCTAATTTAATCTTATTTTTCCCTCCTTCTCACCCTATCACTCCCACCCCACCATGGATTTAAAATCATAGAAACCATTGTCCTTCACATACAGTGTTCAGATTGGTTTCATTCTCATTTAAGTGCAGAATTTATGTGAATGTATGGGGAGAAATCCTGTTGACTGGCTCTGACTGAATCTCAATCCCTTGCCTACCTGTACCCGAGTGCCCTTTCCAGATGTTATCAGACAAAGAGCAGAAGAGAGAAAACATACTGAACAAATCACTTAGCACAGTTTGCCCCCTGTGATAAATGGAAGCTTGGTAAATGAAAACTGGTCATTAAATGCAACAGAGAGAAAAGTGTTAAATTGGGGCACATTAGTGTGACCTTAGACAAGTTGCAGACCACTATCTGGACCCCACTTTCCTTGTTTATAAAGTAAGCAAACTAGGGGCTGGAATGATAGTATAGCATGTAGAGTGCTTGCCTTGCATGCTCAGACAGGTTCTGGGATTCATCCCATATGGTTCCCAGAGCACTGCCAGGAGTAGTTCCTTAGTACAGAGTGACCCCACTTTTTGGTGGGCCCCAAAACAAACAAATAGACAAAACCCAAAACAAACAAACAAACAAACAAACAAACAAAAACTCAAAGGGAAAAACAAGTAGGCTGGGCTAGAGGAAATCAGAGGTTTATTTTAGTCATAACATGGTGTATCTCTAAAAACAAGTTCTCTCTTTGTTTGGAATGAATGTCTATATAATTAAGGTGAAAAATTCTATCCCCCCCTGCCCACTTTAGTCTATATCTGTATTCCAGAATGAATGGAACATCTGAGATCAGATAATGGATGCCTGAAGCTTTTCAGTCAAAGCGTGGATATTTTGGAAAAATAGAAGTAATTACAGGAGAAGTGGATTTGTTTGTTTTGAGTAACTGTAAAGGGTTTCAGTACTTTACTTCACTTTCATATAGAGATACAGCCGTGATTTGAGAAGGCTTTTGTTTGTTTTTCTGAATTATTTGGACAGTTGCCTTAACTCCATTTCATTTTGGCTAAGTAGATACAACTTACTGTTTGCAATGTTGACAGATTTGCTAGGATTTAAATAAAACATGGGAAACTTCTTTGCATAGAAATCATTGAAAATCAAAGCACAGTCATCTTTAATATTTTTATGTTAAGGCTTATGGCTCTATTTTACTTCTAGTGTATTTAATTTCTTAGATATGTTTGTTTCCTTGTATACAACTAGGAAATAATGCATTTTCCATGAATTTTTAATATGCCCTAATTCTTGACTATCTGTCCTCATCAAGGGGATTGCTTTGGGTATAGACCATAGATACTTATGGTAAGAGACCGTGATCAGAGACAAAAACAGAGCTGTGGTTTAGTCTCACTGAATAGAATGCTAAATGGGTAGCAAACAAAAAAATTCCTATAAAAATTGAAACTGAGAGTATTAAAAATGTGAGAAGTACGTAGGGATAATCAGTATTTGACTACAATGGTATAGTAGTTGGGCAAATACTGTGCTTCAAAATACTATGAACACAAAACACAATGAAGCAACAACAGAAAATTTGCTTGCATGCTATTTCAATGACACACTTATCTTTGTCTTCAAGTGGAAATTCATTTGCTTATAAAAACCTGTAAAACATTTTTCAAAAAAAATAAATGATTATTGCTTTGTGACAAATGAGAGCCTATGCCTGATGTTTGGGATTTGGGCCTCTTATCATTGTACGATGTATCAGGTTCTGACATGAAACAGATGTCTCCTTTAAATGAGGTAATTAGAGAAGAGTTCATAAAGAGACGTTTTCCAAAGGTGTGAGCAGACAGTGGGGTGACCCTAAGGGAGAATCTTAAGCCCTGGGACCCTTAAAGGGGGAAGGGAAGGGAGCAGCAATGGAAATGGAAAGAGCTGTGGGCTGGAAAGATAGGATAGCAGAAGGGTGCTTGCCTTGCATGCTACTGACCAAAGTTGTATCCATCAATCCATATGGACTCCCAAATCAATGCAGGCACAATCTCTGAGCTCAGGACCAGGAGTAGGCCCTGAGCACCTCCTGGTGTGGCGCACAAACAAAAATTAAATAAAAATTAAAAGAATTGGAGAAAGAGCTGTGTGAAAGACTGCCTTTGGGGAATTGCATAGAAATGATGATGATGTGATGATCTGCAAAGGAGAGATTCAGCCCGCCCTAAGTGACTCCACCAGAGGAGCTGGGACATTTGCTCCAGTGGATGAAGGGTAGTCTCTGCAAATGGTACTAGAACAATTGAGCATCCGGATCAAAGGAGTGAATGCAAATGAACTAGAGATTTACATGTAAAATGTAAAACTTAAACATTTGGGAAAAAAAGACCAAACACGATTGCCACTCAATGCCTCTTTTGCAAACCACAACACCCAAAAGGAGAGAGAGAACAAATGGGAATGCCATGCCACAGAGGCTGGGTGGGATGGGGGAGATGGGGGGGTGGGAGGGATACTGGGATCCGTGGTGGTGGGAAATGGGCACTGGTGGAGGGGTGGGTGTTTGATCATTGTATAATTAAAACCCAAGCACAAAAATTTGTAAGTCTACAACTGTACCTCATGGTATTTCACTAATAAAAATTAAATTAAAAAAAAAGAAAGAAAGACATAGGAAGAGAAACTGGAGACCTTACCACGGACTGGGTCGACTCCTGGAGAAGCTTGGGAGAGTCTCTCAGCCGGATCCTGTGAAGACTGTCCTCACATGGCCTCAGGCTATGATGAAGGCAGACCCAGGCACCGGGTTGGGCTGACCCTGGGACAGAGTCCGCTGACTGACTGAACTGCAGGACAGCTATCTGGAGAGTCTGAGCGTCCTCGTATATTGTAGGACCCAGGAACTATGAATGAACACAAAGGCCTACTATGACTGCCCCTACACCAAAAGCATGCACTGTTCACATACCAGAATCTGGAAACAACCCGAGTGCCTGAGAGCAGACAACTGGATAAAGAAACTATGGTACATCTACACAATGGAATACTATGCAGCGGTTAGAAAATATGAATTAATGAAATTTGCTTATAAATGGATGGATGTGGAGAATATCAGGCTGAGTAAAATGAATCAGAAGTAGAGAGACAGACAGACATAACTTCACTCATGTGTGGGATATGAAAACAAAACCAGTATGAGACTAACACCCAAGGACAGTAGAAAAAAGGGCCAGGAGGATTTGTCCATGGTTGGAAGCATGCCTAAATAGGGCTGGGGGAGAGGGCAGTTGGAAGACAGAAGGGACCATTATGACAATGATAGTTGGAAGGGATCTCTCTGGATGGAAGATGTGTGCTGACAGTGGGCAAAGGACCTCTCAGTGTATGTATTGCAAACCATGATGCACGAAAGCAGAGAGAGAGAGAGAGAGAGAGAGAGAGAGAGAGAGAGAGAATTAAGAAAAGTGCCTACCATAGAGGCAGAATGGGGGAGCGGGGAGGCAGTGGCAGGAGGGAAACTGGGGACATTGGTGGTGGGAAATGTACACTGGTGTAAAGGTGGGTGTTAGAACATTGTATAACTGAAACCTGATCATGAAAACTTTGTGACTGTGTGTCTCACAGTGATTCAATTAAAAAAAGAAAAAGAAAAAAAGACACAGGAGAAAATCTTCAGGATATAGGGCTAAGCAAAGGGCTTTACACTTGACATGGTCCATTAAAAGTAAAACTATATAATATATATACATATATATGTATACACACACATTTATATGTGGCTTCTAGTTATGAATTTTGCTCTGTGAAAGAGGATGAAGGACAAATTTTAGACTGGGAGATAATTTTGAAAAACACCTAATCCAATAAGGGTCTAATTCCCAGAATTGATATGGAAAACTCCACAATGCTTAAAGTCAGTAGTGAAAAGAATTGAAACTAGAATATAGGAAAAACTACAAACTGACATTTCACTGTAGCTATATAGGTGGGAAATAAGCACTTAAAATATGTCCAACATCAGCCAACAGGGAAATGCAAATTAACACCACAGTGAGGTCTGAGCACGTGCCTAACAGAATGGGTAAAATGAGAAGTGACAACAGTGCTAAATGCTGGCAGTAAGGAGGAGGAAGTAGATTGTATGCACATATAATGCTGGTAGTAATGAGGAGGGAGTAGATTATATCCTGGTGAGAACACAAAATATTACAGCCATTCTCAAAAAGTTTGATGGTTGATTCAAAAAGAAAATGCACAGATAATATTATATCCAGAAATTCTACACATGAGATTGATCACAGAGAAATAAAACTTATGCTCATAGTAAACCTTTGTTGATTTATGAATATTCCAAAGAAATTTTCTCCTTTTTTTGGAAATAAAACCAATATAGAACCCCAAAAAATGAAAATTTACATTCATATGAAAATATACACAGGAAATGTTCATTACAGTTTTGTTCATAGTAAACTATTCTAAACTGGAAACAACCAAGATATTCATTCTGCAGGCAAATACTTAAGCAAATAGTGATATATCCATACTATAGCTAAGCAGGCTATTATTCTTCAATAATAGGTAAATTATTACTGCTAGATGCAACCTTATGGTCTCTGTTTTAGAGAGACCATAGAATTATGCACAGTAATAAAAGCTACATCCAGGACTAGATATATATGGAAGAGGAAAGGAGCATAAATTGATACTCAGGCTTTTACCCAAAGTTCACTTCTGGAAACTGGACCAGAAAAGCACATCAAACCACTTTAAAATACATATCCTATCATTGGACTATACTAAATATTCAAGTGAACATTTGTGCTAAATGCTGAGATTTTCTTACAAATGTTGTATTTTACCCACATGCATTGCATATTTTGTAACCATATATAGACCAGTTTTTAAGTCTTGTGTGGATACTTTGTCATTGATTGTATATTGCAAGAATCAGAGTGTGTGACATGCAGAAACGTCTGCACTTCATGTTAAAATAGAATTCTTTCAGCTCTGATCTTTCTTGAATGACATCATCACTCCTAATACTTTTTAATATATTTCTGATGAAGA